TACCCATTAATTAATCTCACTTCCATAATTCTCTATCCCCACCCCTGGTAACCACCAATATGTTTTCAGTCTCTAAGGATTTACCCATTCTGGAAACTTCACCGGAAGGAGGCGTACAAAGTGTGACATTTTGTTTCTGGCAACTTACCCTCTGCTTTGGCCTTAGGAAACTCAGAGCTAGAATTCCAGCTGTTACGTAGGACTCTATGAGATTCATTTCTGGGGGCTCTTTTTTCCCCTGAATTTTAATTTCTTGCCTACACTAACTCTTTGACCTGAATACCTCAATTATTAATTTTACAGTAAGAGTTTCTCCTTTCTCACGCACCTAATATGTGGGTTTACATGTTAGTAGGCAGTTTGCATATATTGTCGCAACCCTTCAGGGGCCGAGGCAAGACGCCCAAGGTCTTGATTCTTCTCTAGGCTTTATTGTCTAATCTCTCACGGCGGTTACAGCAGTTGTCGGGAAGCTCTCCTCCCTCCCGGCGGGCTTCCTTATATTCAGTCACCCAACCAATCTGGGACGGTATCATGCGTGACCTTTAAGCGGATAGGTGTCACGCACCACTCTAAGCGGGCAGCACGAGCTGTGCACGGGTACGAAAGTCTGCTGGGCCAATCCCCAACAGGGAAGAGGGGAAAGGGTGGTGAGCAGGAAGCAGGCGCCATCTTTAGGGCGTTGTCCAGCTAGAGTGGGGCTCAGCCTCGGCCATAGGCCGGGCCCCCACATCTCCCCCCTTATTGTTTTATAACCAAAGGTCTGTCGGGATCATGCCTGTCTTAGGTCGTCCGGAGTCTGCGGCATTCTTACCCGTCCTCAGGCAACAGACAGCTTAGGTCTGCGCCCTGTCTTAGGTTGATATGCGCAGCTCCCGATCTTACCCGTCCTTGACTACTGATCCAGCATATTAAGCCATACTCTAGGGGAGATGCCTTCCTCTAGCTCTGCCATGGCCTGCAACAGGACCTTCCGTTCTCCCCGTTGCTGTTTTTGTATGGAACAGACTTTCCTCCCAAGCACGAGGAGGCCCACAATTAGCAATATTCCTATGACACCTACACCTGACCAGGCTTTGGTGGCATTTAACATCTTGCCTAACTGTCTGGACAAGTTGGCAGCTTTAGAATAATTATGAAAAGGAATACCAGTAATACACCCCCGTATAAGAATGGACACAGCCCACAGACAAAACCTCCCCCAAGAGGTCCAATTGTTCTTGAAGAAGGTTCATGCGTTGGTTGACCAAGGCCATCCCATTCTTAAAATGGCCGTTGATGACGTTCTGCATTGTCATTGCCGAGGCAGTGGCCTGGGACAGACCATTCAGCGTCTCTGCCGTAGGAATGGTGATAGTCAGCGCGGCGGTGGCTGCAGCTGCAGCTCGGCTCACCGTTGCCTGCTGTAGGATCCACGGCAGGAGCAGAAGCAGTGCGATCATCTTGTACCTCTGCTCCGGGGTTTTCCACTCTGTGTATCAGACATTCAGGCACCCAAACAGGGTTCTGCTGGTCCTGTGGAAAAACACAAACCGAGCCTCGGGTCCAGATTATCACTGGGTCCGGGCCTTTCCATGTTCCTTCCAACACATCCTTCCACAAAACTTTAGGCATGTGTTTTGGATTGGATTGTTGGCCGTGCCACTCTGCTGCACTGCGGCCATTTTTGTCCAGTGTTCTAAAATCTTCTCCTATTCCCCCTTTTTGTTTATATAAGGCATTCTTGAGGGTGAGGTGGGTGCGTTCCACCATACCCTGACCCTGAGGGTTGTCTCTAGCTCCCTGCTGCTCTCATGACACAAAAGGATGTCATCCATATAATGATAGATGATTATCAGGGGAAACTGTTTCCTGACAGTTTGTAAGGCCTTCTTTACATACACATGGTGGGGCTATTAGCCATGCCCTGTGGCAATAAACCTTTGACAGTCTCTGGGGTGAAGCGGGATGGAGAAGAAACAGAATTCCATCCTCTGGGCAGGGCCACAGGGAGAGGAAGGCCTAATTGTACAGGTCCCATAAGCTCCATCTGTCTGTTCACTGCCCTGAGATTATGGAGTAATCTCCACTTGCCAGACTTTTTCCTAATTACAAAAATAGGTGTGTTCCATGGCGAGGTAGAGGGCTGGAGGTGACCAGCTGCTATCTGTTCTTGTACTAAAGTGTGGGCTGCTTCCTTCTTTTCTTTGGTGAGGGGCCACTGAGGTACCCACACGGGCCTTTTTGACTGCCATGTTATTTCTATAGGCTGTTTTCCCTCAGTGGCCCCGAAGAAAAACCCAATCCTGGTCCTCCGGGCCCTTTGGGCAGTCTCCCTGCTAAAAGGATTGGTTGTTCTTTCCCTTGGAGATCCTTCCCTAGTCCTCTAGTGCCCGCGTACCCCTGTTTTTTCATTATGGCATTAGACTGCTCACTGTAAAGAGTCTCTGTGGTTAGTTTAACTCTGCTATTAAACCTGTTCTCTAGCTCGTCCCCCGAAAGTTCCCCGTCTTCATCCTCATCAGATGGCAGTCCCTGTTCAGATCCCCCTTCCGATGCCTTTGCGAAGGCACGCTCTTCTCGTACTTCCTCTAATATTTCCTCCCCCTCTTGGATGGCCTCTCGGCAGCTTGGCTTCTGTCCCTTCAGGCAATTTTTTACTCGACCCCAAATAGGGATTGTCCCTGGTGGAAGGGGCTCCCTCTTGTCTGCCCGGCGTAGGTCATCCCCCAGCCTGTCCCATAAAGGGCTGGTGATTTTTCCTTCATCTAAGAACCATGGGGCATGATTCTCTATAGTGTTCAGGAATGCCCTGGCAGTCTTCGTTTTCAAAGGGGTTCCATTAGCTCTAAGGAGCGCTTTCAGAGGTTCCTCGGCCCTAACCCTAGAGGCCTCCGTCCCCATCCTCTCTCTAAAGGGGCAAGTATCCTAGTTATGATTTAGATGGACTACGTCGCTAATTCCGCGAACCTTTTGATTTCGTCGCCACTCTGCGAACCTTTTGATTTCGTCGCCACTCTGCGAACCTTTTGATTTCGTCGCTGCTCTGCGAACCTTTACTGGCGCCTCCTCATTCCATATATTATAATAAACAATGTCACAAACACTAACAGGACACACACACTACACATAAACACCCACCGCAACTGCCTGCCGTCTGCCCTGCCACGTATACTTTCAGTTTACTCGCCGATCCACTCACCCTTCTCGGTTCCCTCTCCCGGTCTAGCCAGCCAACCGAACGGCGTCCAGTGACGTTCATCAGCAGGCACCAGGGTCAGCGGATCAGGTCGCGACGAGGTTTAGCGATTCCCGGGGTTCGGCACCACTTGTCGCAACCCTTCAGGGGCCGAGGCAAGACGCCCAAGGTCTTGATTCTTCTCTAGGCTTTATTGTCTAATCTCTCACGGCGGTTACAGCAGTTGTCGGGAAGCTCTCCTCCCTCCCGGCGGGCTCCCTTATATTCAGTCACCCAACCAATCCGGGACAGTATCATGCGTGACCTTTAAGTGGATAGGTGTCACGCACCACTCTAAGCGGGCAGCACAAGCTGTGCACGGGTAAGAAAGTCTGCTGGGCCAATCCCCAACAGGGAAGAGGGGAAAGGGTGGTGAGCAGGAAGCAGGCGCCATCTTTAGGGCATTGTCCAGCTAGAGTGGGGCTCAGCCTCGGCCGTAGGCCGGGCCCCCACATATATGATCCATTTAACCTTCACAGCAAGCCATGCAATTAGGATGTTGTCTGTCCTTATGAATTAGGAGACTGAAGCCACTTGTTCCAAGTCACAGAGCAAGTGGAGTGCCAGGAGCAAGCTCTGCTCTGACCCCCACATCTGAAATGGTGGTCTGCAGGCCCCCTGCATCAGAATTATCTGGGATGCTTGTTAAGGTGCAGGTTCCTGGGCACCATTCCCAACCTGCTAGACAAGACCTCTCTGAGCTGTGGGAGGGGCCAGCTGTCCATGTTTTAACGTGTGTTAAATGACTGTCATGCTTCCAGAAGTCCAAGAATCCCTGTGCCAGCAGGACAGTCGTGTGCCCTCCCTCTGCTGGTCCTTCACACAGCTTTTCTACCAGTTTTTCTCCAGCCAAATAGATGTCACTTTCTGTAGAACTTCAAGTCTGCCGTGCTGCTGACCTCAGTTGTGTCGATATACATGTGCTTTATTGGTCATCATTCTGCTAGCTCCTCTTTGGTTAATTTCCTTGAGGACATAGTTTCTCAAGGAATCCAGTGTTTTCAAGCCAGCAAAGAGGATTTACTGTGGTTGGCTGTCATGCAGAAGGGAGATGACCTTGTTATTCGTAGTTCCAGGGAGTGAACCACAGCGGTGCGGCAAGAGTTGCAGTGAGAAGGCTGGGGACGTGGGGTTTCTGCACACTTCCACTGGATGTGTGTAAGAAGCACACGTTCACCTATAGGCCCAGGGGACACACCCTCAAGTTGCTCTCAGCGCAGGAAGCTCAGTCAGTAGAGTGGTGAGCACCAAAGGATGCCCGACACAGACGCAGCTTACCTTCTTGGGAGGAGCCCAAGCCTGGCCTTAACGCTGGAGTGGAGTGGGCAGGCGTCCCAGACCACTGAGCACGAGGCGACACGAGGCTCGGGGCCTTGCAGGAACGGGAGCCCTACCTGAGTGTATGAGCTTGGGTGGGTGTCATGACAACCTGGGGGTCACCCTGCAACCGCTGGCATCTGCATTCGCGTAAGAATCTGTATTTGCTCTAATTTTTCCTGACATTTCATGTCAGACTGGCCTCCAGCCTTTTAGTGTCATGGCCTAATGTAACCAGAATTAAGACTTGGGTGTATTGCAGAAGTTTCATCAGCGCTCTGTGTAAGGAGTTTTAATAGGGCTTTTATGAGCCCTGTAATGGGTAGCCTACTGCTTTCTCTCCTGAGAGAAAACTGGGTGACTCAGCAGGATCTGAGCATAGTTGGAAGCATCTGGCTCTCCCCAGGGGGCCCCAGAGCCGCAGACCCACCCCATAGCCTGACTGGGACCTGTCTGGTTGTTGCAGTGCAGGCCACATGGATGGCCTACGACATGGTGGTGATGCGCACCAACCCCACGCTGGCGGAGTCCGTGCGCCGGCTGGAGGATGCCTTCCTCAACTGCAAGGAGGAGATGGAGAAGAACTGGCAAGAGCTGCTCAGGGAGACCAAGCGCAAACAGTGACGCTGCGGGCAGCCTGTGCGGAGAAGCCACTGGTGGTGGGTTTTCTGCTTGGCGGAGTGACAGCGACCCAAATATACGGCGCTATGCACAGCACTTGATTTCTCAGTAAACTTATTTTCAAGCACAACCTGAGGACCCCCTTCTGCCTTACCCAGCTACACATCCAACCTTTGTGGACAAAACATGAGAAAGTGTAAGATGTAGCTGCTTTCAGTGAATTAAACACATTTAGTGCCAGCAGTGCCAAGCACAGAATAAAAAGAAAAAAAGGGGCCAGACAGGAACAAACTAGGTCAGAGGGTGGGACATGGGAAACTAAATACATTTAGTTTATTTACCTTCCTATGGTGGCTTCCAAAGTGGGTGAAGGGGAGCACGAATCATTCAGTCATGGGTCCTGGGAACTCTGCCAGGGGCTTCCGTATGGGACCTTACGTTCTCACAGCTCTTCTGAGTGACAGAGTCCACTAGCCCCACTTCAGAGGCAAGAAAAACGAAGTTAGATGTCTTGTCCATGTCCACACAGACATGTAAGGGCAAAGGTGAAATCCAGGTCTTACTTAAGCAAGGGGTTGGGGGGAAGTGGGGTGGCTTCTTCAGGGGCTAAGTAGGTGAGAGAGACCCACAAGGCTGCAGAGGAACATGGGGCTGAATGGCCCTGGCCAGCTCTGGGTGGGGGCTGCAGACAGCAGAGAAGCTTCGCAAAGATTCTCGGCCTGAGGACCAATCAGGCAAAGGAGGGCAACAGAGTTGTTCCTGGGGTGCCAGGCCAGGCTCCCCACAACTCAGGACAGGCAGGAAAGCCCAGAGGCAAGGAGGTTTTCCGGGGACTTCCCGGTTCCTTGTTCCCCGTTCCCACTCCCTCACGGGCTGCTTGCCTATCTTGGAGCCCCAGGGACAGAACACAGGAAGCCAGAATGTGCCTCCAGCCATCTTCCTCCTTGGCTCTGGGGTCACTGAGCTCCTAAATCAGCCAAGTCCTGGTCCTTGGGGACGATGCAGCCCCTGGCTCTTGAGCACTGGGCAGTCCCACTGGCAGATCATTTCCACAGAGTGTAGTGGCTGCTGTGAGAGGGGAGCCCGGCCCATGGGAGCCCAGGAGAGGGGGCTCTGCCTCCGGGAGGGGCATGTGCTCTGGCTGAGGCATTGGGCAAGGACTGTCAATAAAGGCAGGAAATAGCATGGGCGTGGTGTGAGGGTGAGAGGTGCCGGATGACGGAGACCAGCTCACAAGTGCAGGGAGCCTGCGCTTGGAGGGGAGCAGGAGCGGGTTGGCGGGGGAAATCATGAAGCTTATTAGAACAGAAAAAGAAAGATGTCCCAGAATCAAGAACCCGAAGTTCTGGACCCCAGCCACCTCCCTGTGCCCCACCTGCCCCTGCCTCTGGCCCCAGGGTCTCCATGGAGAGCAGCAGCTCAGATGGCAGTCTGAACCGGGTCTGCGGGGGGCAGTGTCAGGATGAACGGGCAGAGGACTCCCTTGTTCCCCAGGGGAAAGGGCTGCAGCCCCTTGGCCTGGAACTGAGCAGTCCCCTCAGAGACCGTGAGGGTGGCGGTGACCTGGTGGCTGAGGCAGTAAATGGTGTCATCCAACACGGCGCAGCGGAGTGGGGCTGGGTCGGGCAGTGGAAGGGGGGCGGCTCGGCTCCAGGACCCAGTCACCGTGTTGTAGCGCATCACTGCGGCACCCACACCCCGCAGCAGGTCGAAGCGGTACAGGAAGCCCCCCAGTGCCACCATGTCACTGGAGCGCCGGTGGCTGGCACTGTAGGTGCATTCATCCCATGTGTCCTTCACAGGGCTGTACCTGAGCAAGCGGCAGAAGAGGTGGCCCCCGGTGACATAGATGTCCCCACGGCAGGCCACAGCTTCGTGTGCCACAGGGAAGGTGCCTGCAGGGAGGGGTGCGCGTGAGGTCCAGGCATCTGTACGCGGGTCATAGCGCTCCATGCTGTATAGGCACTCGCCCCCGATGGCGTAGAGCAACCCGTCCAGGGCCACCAGTTTAAGCTGGGCGCGGGCCTGCTGCATGGGCCGCATCTGGCTCCAGATGTTAGTCAGAGGGTTGTAGCAGAAGACCTCATTGGAGCAGGTGGCCTTGGCACCAGAGCCCCGGACGCCCCCCGCCAGGAACAGGTAGTTGTGCATGGTGCAGAGGCCACAGCCCCGCAGCGGAGCCTCCTCGGGCACCTCAGTCAGGTGCTGCCATGTGTTCTCTCGGGGGTTGAACACGTGCACGTGTGAGCGAGGAGGTAGGGGTGCAGGCCCCGCCACAGGAGCCCCCTCCCCAGGAGCGCCCCCTGTGGGCCCGGAGCGGTTCATCTGGTAAAGGCTGGGCAGCACCAGGACCCCCAGCACCGCCTGGCCCCGGCCGGTCCGAAGGCTCAGGATGCGCTCCCGGTCAGCCCCACTCAGCTGCCGGTAGAGGCTCGGGTCTCCCAGCACGCGCAGCAGATTGTCACTCATCAGCGCACAGGCCTTCTGGGCCAGGCAGGGCTCCCCGTGCTGCCGGGCAAAGGCCAGAATGTCCAGGCAGCTGCTCAGGTCCAGCCGCCGCTGCAGAGCGACTCCTGGAGCCGTCTCCTGGCCTGTGGGGCTGGGCTTGCGGGGCCCCGCCACCACTCCCCAGCTCCGGGGCCTCTGCAGAAACACCATGAGTTGTTGGGTCTCTTTCTGCTTCTCCGTGAGATCCCCCCGGCTGCCTGCAGAGCTGGGCCTCTCGGCTGTTGTCTCCCCCTGGTGCTGCCTTGGGGCAGCCTGGCTGACCTCCCACTCAGAGTTCTCGGCTATTCTGCACAGGCTGTGCTTCCGTGGCCGGGGGACAGGCTGCACCTCCGGCCTCGCAGTCGGGGAGGGTGCAGGGCCAGGCTGCGCGGGCTCAGCGGGCAGTGACGGGGCCCTGGGCATGGCAGCTCGGAGCAGCAGGAAGGCCGGATGTCTGTCCTCGTCTCCGTCTCCTCTTGGGCCTGTGGGCAGGCCTGGGGTGGAAGCGCTGGGGGTCTTCTTCTGCTGTGGCTGACATCCAGCCTCAGCCAGGCCCCCCGTGCCTGTCCCCGGGACCATTCTGGCCGAGCTGTGACTGTCCTTGAGGCTGAACACAGCCCCTTCAGGCAGAGCACCAGACTCTCTGTTTTCAGAGAGCGCGAAGGTGCTGGGGTCTCTAGGGCTCCCTGGAGCTGTGCTTGGGGCCCTCCCCTGGGGGCCCTCTTGCCTGGGGAAGGGGTGACTCCTAAGAACCATGGAAATAAGGTTTTCCCAGCTAGTTGAGATCTGCCCTCCCTGCTTACCCTCGAAGAGAGCCCCACTGGGCTCGTGAGATGTAAGCCCTGGCCCGCTAGTGGGGGCGGGGGCTGTAACTGGGGCAGAAGCTGGAGATGGGTCAGGGGCTGGGGCTGGGGCTGCGGTCAGAGCTGGCACGTCTTTGAGACAGTCATCCCCAGCAGGACCCTGGCTAACTCTGAAGGGCAAAGAGTCTGAAGGAGAAGAGGTGGGAAGAGTGGGGGCAGGTGAGGGGCCTGGGTGGGGACGTGCTGAGGGCGGAGGAGCTGAGCGTGGGGGGGGGTTAGGGACACATATTCGGGGTGGGGCTGAGGGACTTGGGGAAGGGTCACCCCTGCAGATGTCTGTGTCTAGCTCCCCTCTGTCCAGACTGCCAGCCCCCTGCCCACGGCCCTGCTCCTTCTGGCCTTGCCAGGACGCTCCCCCTTCTCTGCTGCTGTGGCCCTGTTCCTTCTCTGCCCCTCCCAGCCCTGAGCTGAAGGAAGAGTGGTTCCCAGAGCTGCGAGATCCAGCCTTTCCCAAATGGCAGGCCTCTGTCGTCCCCTGACCTTGGGATAAGAGTGGCCATCCCCACTGCAGCCCCTCTGGCCATGAGCCCATGGAGCCTGGGGCCTGTCTGAAGCTCCTAGTGACAACGACCTCCCTCCCTGCCCAGGGCCCGCCTTCCATGGGGGCTGGGGATCCCTTAGACTCCGGGGGGGCCCAGGGCCCAGCCTCTCTGCTCTCACCAGCTTCAGCCCCTGAGCCCATAATCAGGACTGGGGCTGGCTGGGGGCTCTCCTTCCCACTGCCCCGCTCTGAGCCATCCATCAGCGGCCCAGCCAGCATGTGTGATGGGGGCAGCACCTGGGGGGAGGGGGGCCTCTGGACGCCCGTGGAGAGGCTGCTGGCTGCATCCACAGTGTCCCACACGCTCACCACAGTGCCCAGGCGCAGGGGGTCCTGCTTCGGGGAGTGGTAGGTTCTATCTCCTGAGCTGTTGCCCACCTGCCTCCGTTGGCTGCCTGGGCCTCTCCCCAGGGAGCCAGGTGACCTCACACCTTGGTGCCAGGGGGTGGTGTCCTGTTCCTTGGCATGGACCGGGGCCTGGTCACCTGGCACCTTTGCTCGGAGCTCTCCTGCCTCCACCCGCTCCTCTATTTCTCTGCCGGGACTCCGAGGCGTGAAGTGTATCAAGAGAGGGGCAGATATACCCCCTGCTTGGCTCCTACCCAGGAGGGTACCCCTTCCCTTAGCCCGGAGGGTTTCCGGGGCAGCACTATCATGCTGCTGCCCCAACCCCTGGCCCCCGGCCACCCTGCCAGGTGTCTTGAGCCGAGATGTGACTGTAGCAGCCAGACCTCTACCTCTTGGGGGCTCCAGATGCTGGGCCCCGGCTGCCATTGGGCCCCCCTGGCTGCATCCCGGAGGGTCTGGCTTCCCCAGCCCTGAGCTGTGTCCCTTGATGCCACCACTGACCTTGGCCTTTGGGGGCAGGGCTGGCCCAGCTCCTCCTGCCTGTCCGGGGGCTATGGGTGCCAGTCCTGCCGCCTCCTGCTCCTGCCCAGAGCCAAGCCAGTGCAAGACCAGGGCAGTGACAGCCACCACAGCCAGTGCCAGCAGGGCCAGCCCAGCGCCATCCCCGTCGCCGTCGCCGTCACCGTCCCCACCCCAGCCCCAGGCCCAGCCAGGGCCGGCAGGCTCCGAGGCGCCCTGGATCATACTGCTGGGCTGCACACCCAGCGGGAAGAGCCGGGACAGCAGGCTGGAAGCTGTACGTGCCGCGTGTAAGCCAGTCCTGCACTCAGCCTGGCCTGGCCTGTGTGGGTGCCGAGGGCATCAGCCGCACGCTCCACCCACAGGGCTGCCCAGTTAAGGTGGACATGCGCTGGGGGTCAGTGGCTCAGCCTGACGGGGCAGGGGTGGGTCTGTGGCCACGCTGGGACCAGGGTTTGTCAGCAGGACCCAGCGGGAGCTCTCAGGGGACATGACCCGTGACCGGCCAGGAGCCCAGGGGCATCTCAGGTCCCCTCAGTTCCTGCTCCTTCTCCTTTTCCATGGATTCCAGTGGCAAATGGCAGATTTCAACATCATGCCTGTATCCCAGCCAACCCACTTCTGCCTAACAGACCCTCACACTCCTGAACTCATCCCATACCCAGGGCCCCTCCTCTGAGCCAGCATCCAGCCTCAAGGGGCTCTGACAGAGATGAGGTGCCCAAAGGAGATGTTATCTATGACCTTAGCAACACAATGCAACCCGATGAAATTACCAGAAACCTGAGAGGCGGCTCCACTGTGGGCCTGCACGGGGGCCTGGGCACACCCTGGGGTGCCAGCTGCAGCTGAGGAGGGAGATAGTGGGGGGGGGGTCCTGACACCGAGCATGTCCAGCACAGAGACGGGACCTCTGACAGGCACCACCTCCTGTCACAGCAGGTGTGAAGTGAGGCTTGTGCTCTTCTCCCACAGGATACACGGGGGTGTGCCAAGGCGGAAGCCCCCTCACCTCCTCCGCCAGCAGCCTCTAGACTTCCCTTACCCTGAGTTCAGCGGAGATGGATAGAGTTTTCAAAAGGAATTTTCTAGGCTGTCAAGAGAAAAGATGAACAAAATAAAGAAAATCCAAAAGTTGTGTCTCCTTTATTGGCCCAGGTCATCATAACCCACCTGCTCTTGCAGTTCTCCTGAGCCTTCCCTGTGCCCTCTGTACCGTCCTGGCGGCCCAGATGCTGTTCTCACCAGGCTCGTGCCCCTGCTCCTGTCACCACGGCAGCCAGCCCCCAGGATCTAGAAACCCTCCTCTGGCCTGTCCCCTCTCAGTCCACAGCCCTCCCTCGTCCTTGCCGAACCACTGCAGTCCCCCACCTCCTCGCCAGGACTCGGGCGCCCACAGGCCTGGCACACTTCCCCTCAGTACCTGGTTCCTCAGGCAGGAGTCTCGTCTCCTCTGTTGGCTTCTCACTTAAGCTGATCTCAGGAGTGATTCTCGGGACGGGTGCCAGGGGGGACCTGGACGTGAGAAGACCCTGGATCCCCAGGACGAAGGCAGGGCCCCACAGCACATGCTTGTTCCTCTTCCGCTGCCTCTTCCCGAGTTGGGCAGCAAGGACATGGCCAGGACGTGAGCTGGCACTCGGCCTGGGCTGTGCTGGGCCTCGGGCTATGTCACCCACCTGGCCGTCTCCCAGCCCTCCTCCCCTGACATATTAGATGACAGGAGAGGCAGAAGGTGGGCCCGTGCTTTAAGGTGGCCCTGAAGTTGGGGGCGGGCTTCCCAGACACTGCCTTATTCTCCGTCCTGCTCTCAGTCTCTGTCTCTTGGTTAAGTCTGGGGTCCAAAGACCTTGAGAGGATGGAGATGACCCCCTCCACCTGCACCTCCCTGCAGACCACAGGGTACCCACCCTGGTGTCGCCACTCAGTTCCTAAAGATCCTTGTGGTCAGTGTGAGCCCCAGGCTGCTGTCAGAGAAGAGAAGTGTCTACCAAGTGATGCTCAGGTGCCACCATGGAGAGGGACCTAGCCTAGGAAATAATCCCAACCAGTTTTACAAGGCGCTGAACACCATGTGGGTCCTGGAGACACACAGTGACCAAGGGTCTAGTCACTTTCTCTGTGGAAAGAAAACACCTCCCTTTGTCAAAATCTAGCTCGAGGGCAAAACTCTGCCCTGCAAGGAGAAATTTCCTATTGGGAAGGTGACTGAGGACATGTTACCTCCTTAAATTATGGGAGATTTGCCTTCCTAACTTCCCAGAGAGTAAAAATGTGGTACTGCTGAAAAGGTGACACAACTTCAAATTATGAAACATGAACAATTGTTCTAGTTGTGCTGTGATAGCATAGATATCACAAATTACCACCAAGGTAAAAAATGAAAATTGAGGAAATGGGTCCTGGAAAGATCGGACCTTTAACAGCTCCTCTGGCTTGTAAGGCAGGAATCCTGTCTGGACAAGGACTAGAGGGGGGTGTGTGCCGTGTACCTACCTGAGGTTCCTGTTTCCTCAAGGGATGCACAACAGGAATGGAGGCAGTCTCCTGCCCACCAGCAACCGTCAGCACCCACCCCGGGGCCCTGGTGGTGGGGAAATGCATCTACACGTGAGCTGACCCACTGCAGCACCCACTAGAAGAAAATTCCACCATTTTCTGGTCCCTGAGCTCAAACAAAGCTGGACCTAGCCACCACTGTGTCCTTTATGAAACATTTAGTGGAGGAAAAGCACAGTGAAATGATGACATAATTCCAAACAGAGAGCTAAATACAAATGGGTAGCTAATACATATAAAATGGTGGAGAGCAGCAAACACCATCAGATGTAGGGTTTCTTTATTACTGGGCCTTTTTAAAGCAAGAAATAATGCCTGATCAGAAATGACACAAAAAACAAATGACATGATATTATATAATTTTATTTATGTTGAAAGTATATATGGATGTACAAATAGATCTAGAACAATGTTTAAGGCTTATAAAATATAAATCCCTGATTTAATAATTACACACAACAGGAAATGCCTCTTAAGGAATTCATCTGATAGGGGGAGGAAAGAAGTCATTTTAAAAAAGAGAAACAATATAATATGATTTATAATGGAAAAAATTAAAACATGTACACATTCAACAATATGAGAGTGATAAAAACATGCACATGATTTTAAAAAGTGATATTGAAAGAATTATTGATAATGTGGCTGTGAAGTTTAATATAAACATTAATGGAAAGTCTTTTAATAGAAGAGGCATAAGATAAAATTTTAAAATAAGGACAAATTAGCAATTCCTATCAAAATACCAATGGCATTCTTCAATGAACTAGAGAAAATAGTTCTAAAATTCATATGGAACCACAAAAGACCCCAAATAGCCAAAGCAATCCTGAGGAGGAAGAATAAAGCTGGGTGGATTACATTCCCTGACTTCAAGCTCTACTACAAAGCCACAGTAATCAAGACAATTTGGTACTGGCACAAGAACAGAGCCACAGACCAGTGGAACAGAACAGAGAGTCCAGACATTAACCCAAACATATTTGGTCAATTA